GAAGGCTTTTTTTGTGTGGAGGGGGGGGCTCCAGACTGGGCAGAGCTGGGCCCATCCAGGCTCCGTGAGGTGGCCTCAGACCTTTTTTATTTAATTATTCCTCTGTCTCTGGGAAAGAAACGAGCACTTAAAGGTTTAAAAGTGACTTGAGTGAAGGTTAGCCGTTAGCTAACGTCGCTTGGATCTGAAACTGATCCGAATCGGCCGAATGAACGCTCCGAAATGTTGGATTTAATGAGAGGAAATAGAGAAATTGAGAAGGGTTTTTTTGGGGTTAAGGGTGCGGCTCCAGGTGGGAATCTGTGGGAATCTCAGACCTGGACGCAGGCTGCCGTTCGATAAGAGCTGCGAAAATAATGATTCACAAATGTGGGCCGGAGCGTGAAAGCAAGCGGCTCGTTCTCGGAGCAGGTTTGGGGGGGCAAACCGGACTCTATCTCAGGTTAAAAAATCCTCTAAATGCTCATTTTCTCTGTTTTTTTTTCTGCGTTTTGGAGCTTTTCCACCACGATAAATGTGTAAAAGTGACATTTATCTGCTGTAAATATCAGCATCCTCCAGTTTTCTGTCCCCTTTAAAAGCAGAGAAAGTGGAACAGCCCTAAACCTAATCCCCCCCCCCACACACACACACACCTGACTAATGCAGAGGAGATTCAGAAGCTGTAAAGTTGTGCTTTCTTAGGATTTATTGGCTGTTTGGGTCTTTTTAAAAGCCGTTTGGGCCGCTGTGGTCCAACCTTTGCTCCGCGGTTGGCAGCTTAATGATTAGCAGAGAACACTTTGGAATCAAAGGGTTGCTCCTCCAGAAGCAAAATAAAAAAAATCTGCACATTTATAACCGAATATGTGGGATTCAATAGTCTCATCCATTAAAAGCTTATTTCACTGGCTTCATTTTTCCTCAGTTTTTTAAAATGTGTTTTAATAATTAAAGAAACGTTGACTTGATTTTCATAATTTAATTTCAATACAGAAAAATAAAAAAACTTGTCTTTTTTTAAATAGGAATTTCTAATAGCCAAAAAGTCAGAAATTTAGGTTAAATTGTGCAGATTTTTCCTGCTAATGTCACTGACTTTTTTTCCTTTTGCTTCTATTTAATGTTGGATTTGAAAGTCTCTGGTAAATTAATTTTAAATGGAATTTATTTTAAAATGCTCAGATTGAAATAACTTTTGATAAATTCTATATTTCTAGAAATCAATATCACCCCTTTTTTTGCTAAGCAGATTTTGAGGTTTTCCTTTTTACGTTCTCAAAATGTCTCAAATTAAATCTTTTCCAAACTTCTCTGATACAAAACACACAAGTAAAAAAAAAACAATTTATTTTAGGATTTAATTCATTTGTATATTTAGGAAAAAAAAGAAAGAAAAGAAAACCCATGGGCTCTTTTTCAGGACTCTTTTTTTATAGGAAAAAGTATTAAAATTGAATCTAATCATTTAATTAGTTTTTATTTATTCCATACAGATAAATGGTTTCAAATATAAATGTACTCACTTTGTGGAATTTATTCTGTCTCCTTAATAATGTTGTGAAATTTAAAGGTCAAAACTGATTAAGATTTGAGTTTTCCCTGATTTTGAAATGTTAAATAATTGAAAAAAACAAATGAGCTCATAGTTCAAACTCTTTTTCTCGTTCTGTTCATTCAGACATTTCATTAACTTTGGAACAAC